TTCTGTTGAGTTGTACTAGGGAGTGGCCAAAGTCTTGTTTCTATTATCATTTAATATTTTGAGACTAAAGCAAAGTTAACTCGAGGCATGACAGGTACATTCTCAACTATGGTACAAAACAGGGTAATTGGGTTGGATCTTTTCATGTTTGTTTTGATTTCATGCATTAAGTTTTAAATAGTTTTAACTTTAATTTTCTTTTCTTCTATTCTATTTTATTTTTATTTTGTTTTTCTTTTTTTTTCTTTTCCAATTTAAATCTTCTTGTTCTTTCTTGAGGACAAGAAAGGTTCAAGCTTAGGGAGATTTGTTAGGTGCATTTCATGCATTCATTTTTATAGTTTTAGTTCATAAAAGTGCATTACATTTAGGTTTAGACTCATGCATTTTGTATAATTTCAGGATTTTTCATGATGCAATTCCATTCACACGCTTTTGGGATATTTTAGGGACTTATGAAGGTTGGATCTTGTTGGAGGAAGTTATCAAGAGTTGGAGACAAAGTTGTAGAAGTTTTGGAGCTTTGAAGAGAGAGAATGAAGAAATGAAGAATTTGGCTTCACAGGAGTTTACACGGCCGTGTAAATGGAACCCTTTGATTTACACGGGCCGTGTAAACGTCTCGGCAGTTTTAAAGTGGTTTTATCTTCTTATAATTCAGACAATCAGTTTTTATAAAAGTTAGGTCGGATTTTGGGAGGGGAAGAGACGATTTTCAGAGCTTTGGCAAGTAGATTAACACTTGGAAAACACTTTAATTTCTTTTTGTAAGTCAATTTGAAGTTTAAACTTGTTTGATTTGTAGTCCAACCTAGATATGTGTGGTTGATTTTATTATCATTTCCGAATCTGAATTCTTAAGTATGTGTTGTTAGGCTGTAACTTGAATTTGACTTATGTTTAACATCTAGTAATTTTTGATTTGATCTTAATCATGTGTTTGGTTAGTTCTCTTTTTGACTTGATCAATGAACTAGGGTTCTATTCAATCTAGTTAATCAAATCATGAAATTCGTATATGCTTTATGATTTGATGTTAGTAACACTCACTTACTTGGTTGTAATTAGATCAAAATTAGTGCAATCAAAGATTAAATGTTTATATTCCCAAGCTTAAGAGGAATGTTAAACATTGTTGGTAATTAATGCAAGAACCTAATGTCATTTAATGATTTAATGCAAGAGCTTATTTGGGTTGAATCAATTAAATGAAATTTTATTTAAAGAGCTTATTTTGAATAAAATACTTTTGCCAATTTGGATATTAGAGTTTATTAATATCCAACTTACCAACCTAGATTGAACATGAGTTATAATCATATTACATCTTTCAACATAATACATATATAAGAGTCAAAATCGGAAATGTACTTCTTTTACTGCGTTTGTTTTCAATCTTTCTTATTTATGAAGTTTAATTCAAGTTTAAATACAAACCCCCATTTCAATATTACTTGTATTATGTGTGAAAATATGGCAAGATAAAAAGTCTCGTATCTCTGTGGACCGACCCTGCCTACTCTATACTATCTTTAGTATTAGAAAAAGCAGTGATTTGAGTTATATTAATATTATTTTATCCCATCATTTGTTGGTTTGACACCCAAACAAAACCGTAGTTGATTCAACGTGCGAATCAGAGTACGTTACAGCGAGCGAAGCGTCAAAGGTGGCGATATGGTTGAAGAACTTCATTGGAGACCTTGGAGTTGTACCTGCCATAAAAAAGACTACGGAAATTTTCTGTGATAATGAAGGAGCGGTTGCCTTGACCAAGGAACCGAGGGATCGTGGTAGATCTCGACATATCGACAGAAAATATCACTTTATTCGACATCGGGTAGAAGAATGACTCCTCACAGTAAAGAGGGTATCGTCAGAGGATAACCTAGCAGATCCGCTTACGAAGGGAGTGAGTAGGGTTAAGCACTTGCAACACGCTAGGAGCATTGGGCTGAAGGACGATATTAGTTTGGATTAGATAGTTTAGAAACGTGTAATAGATAAATGTAATTGACATTTGATGATTAAATAAAGGATTATTATTTATAAGTAAAGTTACTGTCTTATGTTAATTGTTTAACTATTGTTTCACTTTGCATGTTTTGACTTCCTGAATAATTGAGTTAATTAAGAATAATCGAATAATTCAAACGGTCAACAGTCATTCATATGTTGGAAGTAGGTATGAATGAAGACTGTCATGAATTGGTGCGTAGATTGTCTGAAAAGGTATTAGACATAGCAAAGGTTTGCTACAACGTTCATGAGTGCTTATGAACAAGTTTTGAGCATCGGAATAAACTCGTGCTTGTTGGAATCACTTCATGGAATTTATCACGAGTGATCGCAAGACGATAATATCATATGGTCTTAAAACCAAGATATATGGTTTATTGTTTGCTAATTGGTTGTGCATTGATAATGCGAAAACGCATCAGTAACTTGATGTCTTAAAACGCATTGTTGTGTATAATTTGATTAGTGAATAGTAAATGCATATAATTTGAAGTTTATTTGTTCCTTTTATCCTAAGAGGGTAAAAGCGATATCAGGGCCCCTCGATGATTTGATTTGAATTATGTGTCGGGCCTGGTCAGGACTGAATTGATGTGTTCAATTAAGTTCTATGTCAAATGAATCTGAGATCGAGAAAAAAACTGATGGACCATAAGTATGACTATGTTCCATGTGATTGTCCGCACGATATCTAAAACAAAGGACTGTGTGATCCCTTATCTAAAGGACGGGTTACTAATAAGATTAGAGTTCGACAGCGTCTTTGAGAGCTACGATTGTTAATCGAGTTATGCTTGCATTTATGGTTACTAGACTTATCCAAGTGGGAGACGGTTGGATTAGTGTCTAAGCCCGTAATCATATTTGGTAAGTACTTGACCAGGTTGTGCATGGTCCTTTTGGGTTGCCTTCACCAAAGCAACTTGACTGGAGAAATAATAGAGAAATAGGTTATTATGATTTATTAATATGTTATAAGAATAATATAATAAAAGAGAAATCATATTTGTTTAATTAATATTGGTCAATAATTAATTAAGAATTAATTTTGTGATCAAAAGTAGTTAATTAAACTAAATGGGTTGAATTGTAATTAGGTGATAGTTGAAAATTAGGGCAATGGATGCCCTATGGATAGGGTGGACGAATTCAAGGGGATAAGGCCCTAGAATTCGTCCAAGGATAAGGCTTCTAGACTTATCTTATGGGCTGCTTAGTGGGCAAGCAACCAGATAAAGGATAAGGACTGAAACCCTAATCTCTACCCTATTTAAGGACCCCTTGGTTAAAGGAAATTGGCCACTTGATCCCTAGAAGACCTAGAGCCGATTTTCTGCCTCTCCCCTCTCTCTTTCTTGCCTCTCCATTTGCTCTTGGTGTTTGTGAGCCATTAGAGGTACTACACTTGTGGTACTTGCTTTCAAAGATAAGAAGATTAAAGGTTTGAGTTGTTATTACAATATAACAACAAGATGTATGTAATCTCTTCTACTATCTAGATTTTGAAATACCTAGGAGCATGCTAGGGCTCTTCTTGTGTTCATAATGTTGTGTATCTAATAGTGAAAACATAGATCCAAATATATGGTTGCATGGACATATAGGATTGTTTGTATAAGAAACATCAAAAAATACCCTCATATTTCAATTTTATATTGTACTTGGAATCTGGTATACTCGTAGAAACATAATCAATCATTGGAGACTTTACCGCGTTCTCCCATATCGGTTTTGAGATGCTATCATCCGTGTCTATGTGTGACTGTTACATGTTTATATAACAATTAAGCTTTTAACTCGTTAAACTACATGAAAGAAGCTTGAGATAAAATAACTTTACCTGTTCAATGAAATCGTCCATGTTTTTGTCCGTTGATTTTTTGTCATTCAAGATTTCATATGGTGATTTTTTGTCATTCAAATCGTCTGTTAATTTGTTGTCAATCAAGAAATTGTTAGTTGCATGGAAGAGTATATATAGGTTGTAATTAAAGATGAAAAACATCGATCGACTTAATTACCAGGTGAGTAATCAAAAGGCAAAATAAGCAATAAAATTTTGATAATAAGAAATTGCGATTTAATGGATACGAATTAGAATTGTGTAATAAAAAATCATAATTGGCAATCATAGTCTATACTCCACATTGTATTACCTGATACGACTTCAGTTGTCATCTTCTCGGAATTGATTCTTCGTCAACAGGTGTTGCTTCGCTACTAATGATGACATTGAATGAAGAGAATACTTCTTTGAAGTGTGCGTCGTATGTATGCAATTAGTTAGCGCAATGAATTTCGTATACTTCCAGGTACGTGATCAGCAAAAGGGTTACAATAATTGGGTCAATTTTGGTCGACCCAAGTTAAGGCAAAAAGGTTTTAAGTATTGAAGGGCAAATTAGTCAATTGACATTATGTTTTTAAATTAAAATGATTATAAAATACCAAAACTGATTAAAAACATTTTGAAAATGGTTAAAAAATAAATTTAGGCGAATATGATATTTTAAATGTTAAGAAGGGTATATATGATATTTAGATTTGATGTCGAGTAAATATGATATTTTACGTTCCCAAAGATTTATTTATCTGCAGGGATAAATTCTACTGGCATGATATATGTTATGTCTAAAAACTAATTCATCTGCTGGGATAGCTCAGTTGGGAGAGCGTCAGACTGAAGATCTGAAGGTCACGTGTTCGATCCACGTTCACCACATTTTACTCTCATTTTGTTAATCCTTCCTTTTTAGGAAATATTGTTTCACTTTTTACATGTAAAAAGTAAAAAACTAGCGCAAAAAGGAATAATCTGAAGAATGTCGTCGTATTAACATTTACAAACACAAAATTTTCACATATTTCAACAGTCGTCCAAACAAAAACATCATAAATTTCTTATCTTTCCACAGAAAAAAAAAAAAAAATCCAAACGAAATTAAAAAAGAATGCTTCACATTTCAGAATGTATAACTGTTTCAAAAGAAATCAAACTCAAGATAATTCTCGGATCCCTTCTTCTCAGGTGCAACCACGACAGCAGCAGCGTTTTTCTCGCAAAGGGATGTCATCGGAGAAGAATTCCGTTCAAACACCACCGCCTTTGGGATTTCCGGTGGGGTTGCACAACGAATCAACGCCCAATTAACACCTTCAAAGAAAGGATGTTGTTTGATTTCAGTAGCTCCTCTCTTGTATGCCAATCGTTGCTTTGGTTCTTTCACCAGCAAACCTCTCATCAGATCCCTCGCCGGAAAACTCACAACCGGCGACTCCGGGAACCTCAGCGGCTGCCCAACCACATTTGTCAACGTCGCTCGATTGCCTGTCCCTTTGAACGGAGTTTTCCCAAAAAGCAACTCGTACAAAAATATACCAAGCGTCCACCAATCCACCGCGCTGCCATGTCCTTCGTTTTTTATAATCTCCGGCGCCAAATACTCATGCGTCCCAACAAACGACATTGACCGGACACCGGTCGGCTCCGCCATAAGCTCCGGTAACGGACTCACCTGGTTCCCAATTTCCGATTTCGACTTCAATTTCTTATCTTTCTTGGATCTAAACATTCTCGGAGAGAAACAAGAGGTAGAAACTACACATGAGGGTTGGATACACGACGAAGACGACGGCGGTTCGATGCAATAACCACCGGAGCTCTTCTGTAAAGGATCGTTCTCTAAAGACGCTGAAAATAAATTCACAAGCGTTGGACTGACTGAACAACGAAGTGAAAGATCAAAGTCGGTAAGCATTATATGACCATCTTCCCTAACAAGAACATTTTCCGGCTTCAGGTCACGATACACGATTCCAAGCATATGCAGGTACTCCATAGCAAGAAGTATCTCAGCAACATAAAATCTGCATAAGATTCAAAAGTTTATTGAAAAACAAAAGATCTGGGAATATTAATTAGGTTGTCATATACTTACTTGACAGCTTGTTCACAAAATCGTTTTCCCGGCTGGCGTTGCCGGAGCATATGCAAATCGCCGCCGGGGCAAAACTCCATTACCAAACACGAGAACTTATCCGTCTCAAAATGAGTATACAAACTGGGAAGAAAAGGATGATCCAAAGATTGAAGTATTTCCTTTTCTGTTTGCGCTCTTAATAACTTATTACGACCTTCAAGCGACACTTTATCCATCACCTTCATTGCATAATACGATTTGGTACCCGTAAGCTCGCAGAGATAAACACTTCCGATGTCCCCGCAACCCAATCTTTTCAACAATCGAAAATGATTCAGACCCAGATTCCCATCTTGTAATCTAACACTCTGAATCGCTTCCCATCTTGAATCGTTTGATTTATGAGGTTTGCTGATGGTGGCGCTCAACGTGCTGTAACAACTTTCATCGCTTATATCAGTGCTTGTACTTCCTCTACACATGCTACTCTTTCCACTCTCCACAAAATCTGTTCTTTCACCACCAATTATTGGATCTTTAAACGGTTTCATTTCTCCGATTGAACCCATTGTTACGATTCAGGAGCAGCTATCTACACACACACACACACACATATATATATATATATATATATATATATATATATTATATATATATATATATATATATATATATAGAAAGAAAAGAAGATTAAAAGAAGTAAGAAGAAACGTATGATAATCAAGAAAACGAACACATGAGTCTTGATTCTTGGAACTGACACAACTTCCCTCCATAATATTAACCCTACAAAAACTACCCCCACAAACAACCATAATCTAAAAGACAATAGGGAGGGCCATAAAACCCACTTTGATTTACAGAAAGAAAAGTAGAAAAAGATATGAGGGGTCATATATAAAAGCGTACCTGAAAGATGACAACTTTAGGGTTCTTGTTGAATGTTGATTGTTGAGGCATCAATGAACATTAGCTAGGAAAGAAGAGGAGAGGGAGCACTACCATTAATGGTGGGAGTGTGTGTGAGATAAAGAAAGAAAGAGAGGGGATCACTATCACTCTCTCCCATAATTCATAATGAATTGTGGTCTAAAGAAGAAGAAAAAAGGTTTCGAGTGTTGGGGCTGTCTATGTGGGCTACTACCATTAACATGGAGGAGAGAGACAACTATAGCCTGTGAGGATATATAAAATATCCTTTTTTTATTTTAAATTAAAACTAAAGGTTTTAGGGTCAAATATTTGATTATTGATTATTTATTTGGATCGAATATAATACGCCAAGGATGTAAACCGGTTTGGAACCCATCCGAACATAAAGAACCGAAAATCAATTTAGGAGTAAATGGGAAACCGATAACCAGATCGAATACCACTAATCGGTTCCAACCCTATCTAAAAAGATGTTTGGTACCGGAATCGATCTAAACCGGATCGGAACCAAAAACCGAAAATCATGAATTTTGGGGAATTTGGAACCAGACTGAATACTGTAAACCGGTTCCAACCGCTTCCGGTCTAAATTTTCGATTAAAAAGCACATCACTATAATATTTTGTATTAATATGTAATTTTTTTAATTGATTAGTTGAAAATAGTCATATAAATTGTTTTAAAAGAAAAACAGTTTGATGTATAAAATCATTTAAAAAAATGTTGCAAAAACCTATTTGACTCATTCACTTTTATATAAAAAATTAGTTTTACTTATTTGACCTTTTAGAAACTGTATGATATAATGTAATCAATTTAATTAATTAATTAGATTATACGGAGTATTATGAGATTTCATAAGATCTATAATGGTTCAATGGAACATATTCGAGTACCATGAAGTAAAAATCCACATATTAAATGAGTTAATAAAAGAAATTAAATGTTGTTAGACATATAGAGTATAGACTATAGACGTTAAACGGGTCCATGTCATGAGAAAAATGGTTCGTGGTTACAATGTGGGTTATTTCTGTAATTTTACGCTTACATTGAGAATATTTATGTAATTTTTACATTTCATGCTATTACAATCTACACATGACCATTTATGTAATTTGACTTATTATAAATGATCTATTTCTATAATTTTGCAAATTAAAAATTATATCCCTCTTTTTGTTTTGTTTTTAGATTATATCCCTCTTTTTGTTCTTCTTTTTGTCCATTTAGACCAAAATCCAGGCTAGATGATAGTGGAGGGGTACTTTTATGGTCAAAATGAATAGTATTTTGGTGATATTATGCCACCCGATATTGGTATGAAAACAAGACTATACTTCTGTCAA